AAGGTAACCGAATGACATGGTTTTAAGCACATCGAATTCAGTATTTAGCACATAGCTTGAATTTTATATTATTTCTATGCATGACAGTCAATAATCCTTATACCGGCACAGAACTGTCTTAAACAATTATAAAAAAAAAAGAAAAAAAAAAAAAAAGAAAAAAAAAAAAAAAAAAAAAAAAAAGAATGATTTTAAAAAGTTCAGCTAGTGAAATTTAATGCTTCCGGCTAGTATTTAAAATAGAGAGAGAAATTTACAACTATTTATTGCTTTAAATTGCTTAATCATATGCTTTGCAGAATGGAACCACATTCATGCATGGAAGATAAAAATATTTTAGTTCAGGTAGTCGCAGCACATATTTATGTTAACTGAGTTTTCTGATTAAATTTGAAACATAAATATGTTATGGTTGCCTGAGTGGTAACACTTTTCTCTTAAACCACTGAGTTTCCTGATTTAATTTTAAACATAAATATTTTTTAAATTCAAAATTCAGGCTTTGATGTGCATATTTTCTCGTGGAGAAAATTTGGTGGCTCTAGATGGCTATTTACTTACAATGTGAGGAACATATGTACACTTTGCAAAAAAAAAAAAAAAAAAAGGAAAGGAGAAAAAAAAGTGAGACAGTTCTATATCTCCCATTCTACTGGGCCGATTGACGAAATTCAAATTGCGTTTTTCATGTCTCGAAAGCGCGACTCAGGATATATATTAGATTTATATATAGCATTATTTATTATTTTAACATAGGTATTTTGACAGAAAAACGGACTTTTCTGAAATAACATACCAATTTTTTTAAGACTCAAAGTATGCCAGACTGCCAAGTTTTGTAAAAATTGCAAGAGTAGTTTTTAAAAAATTATCTCTCAAAATTTTAGCTTCTCAATGTTAATTGAATTTGGTATATATTTATTAATATCTTTTTTTAAAAAAAATGTTTTTGATTATTCCTTTTGCATTTCGAAATTTAGGTTCATTCCAAATAAAATTCAATAAATTTGTTCCAAATAAATTTGTTATTTTAAATAATTTTTATAAATATTTCAAAAAATATTTTGAATTATAGCCTGTAAAATTTTTACCGTCATCTTAAAGTAGGTGTATTTCTAAGCATATAACTGCAAAAACTGAGACTTTTTTATTCAAAATTTTCTAAGATATACACGAATTTACGTATTGGCATGTTTTGAAATTTAGCACCTTTTCTTTGAGCAAAATGTGGTTTATGGATTTTGTTACAGTGAATTGCCACAGCTATTTTTAACCTTAAATTTCAAATAAAGTTTTATGAAGAATTAATTACATGAAAGTTTTTCCCTCAATGATGCATCATAAATATTTATTAATACTACAGCTTTTTTTTACTTCCTTGTACGAAGTAAAAAGGAAGTATTGTAATCACGAAAAGTTTCAGGCAGCATATTTCAACGAAAATATCCATTTTGACCACTATCGAATGCAATTTAACGATGTTTTTGCGTGATATTTGTATGTAAAGACAGAATAAAAGACCATTTTCCACCAAAATAATTATAAAACTGCTTTAAAATGAATTCTGAAGAGAATTTTTCGTGGCGTCTGTATGAACGTACGTATCTCGCATAACTCAAAAACGAGTAGCGTCAGAATGTTGAAATTTTGTATATAAGACGGCTATAACATGTAGATGTGCACCTCGTATTTTGGTTGCACTCGAACGCCCCAAACATATATAAATATATATCCACTCTGTTACCCGGCTCAGTGATCTCAGTTTCTTTACTCGTTTGTAAATGGTACATTTTTTGCTTTAAAAATAATTGAATTATGTTGTTTTTATCTTCAGGTTAAGGTTTTTATGCCTTTAGTAAATCTGTATGCAATATTTTTAGAATTATCAAGAATTTTAAAGTTGTTTAAGTGCCGCTGAGCCTTTTTTTTTATGGCGGCCATTGATTGTTTACATTTGAAACAGCAGACTAGTGAATTTGTTGCCAATCTAGAGAAACTTAGCTTCAACAAAGATAACGCCTTCATTTACTATTGCGAATTAAATCATGCTTAATCCTTTATGGAATTTTTTTGAGGAAATAAGTGTTTAAGATTTACTTCGTAATTTTTAATATAGATATTTTGAGTTTTTATGTATTTTTGCCTTCTTGGGAAGTTGAGAACTGAATTAATTTAATGAAAAATACTCAGACGTCTTTGAAAAACTGTTCCTTTTTTGTTTTGTTTGCTTAATTTCTTTTATACATCATAGTAGCTTTATTATAGTATTTGAATAGAACATGTGGCAACAATTAGATAATTCTTTAAATGATATCAATTTTGTGCATGAGTTATAATATGAATGAAATACAATACTGTTAAGTGAATCTAGCGCCAGAGTGTCGCTATGGTAAACAAATACTAGAGTGAATTTTAAAGAAAGCATTTATTCTATTGTAGTTTAGGCGCTGTCGGCAGGCAAAGTAGATTTAATTCAATCCAATAAGTTTAAATGAAATGCAAGAAAAAATGCGTATAATTTAATATTCCGTATAAGGAAGTGATATGGTGTACACATCAGATTTTTTTTTTTAAATTACAGATGACATTATTCAAATTTTTAACTTTTTTTTTTTTTTAAATTTCTTTCTTTCTTCCTTTTTCTAAAAATATCTTTAAGTGTAAATTTTTACCTTCACTGTGTTATCTATCATCTGCTACTTTATTTTAACTTCATTTAAGTTGAATTGTCTAAAACTGAGAAAGTTCATTTGATGTTTATTTTCACAATGTTTTTACGCAAACAGGATGTTGACAGTTTGGGTCATAGCCCAGCTTTTAAAAAATATATAAAAATAAAATTTTTACATTTATCCTCTTAGAAGGAATGTTTTAAGTAGTAATTTTCTCTCATGTTGTAGATTATATGAAAAACATGTTCATTAATATAGAAATTATTTGGCTTAAAAACTCCAAATAATATGATTTAGATTGTTTGCGCCCGATATAAGAATCAGTTACTCCGTGGTACAGGATAAGCGCTAGAAAACGAAAAGCTGTCTTCAGCTGAAATGCATTTGATGCAAAAAATTGACAAGAATGTAAAATTTATGGAAGTATAACAATGGAAAAATCTTAATTTTCTTGTATCAGCACTGAAAACATGTAGAAGAAAATTCGGGGGAAAAAGCAAAAATTTAAAGGGGAATCTACTTCAAGGAAATTGGGTGTTCAAAGAGAAAACACTTAGATGTGTACACTAGCAAATAGCAGCAATTGAGTTTGTGCTAACGGAAAAGGCAAAAACAATATCATTGCAGATTAAAGTGAAGAGCGATTGGTTTTAGACTATATTTTTGTATAAATTTAAATTACATATTAGAACATCATATCGTATCATAAATGGAACATTCCATGATTTCTCAGTCGAATTATTTGAAAATCAGGAATTTATCCAGTATCTGGATAAATCTAAAGTGTATCGATATCATCTAAAGACATTTTCCCTCTTGATGAAACCAGTGTTTCCTTTCATCTCATGCCTTCAAAATGCCTAGCCTCTAAAGACTGATAACGGCTCTGACCAAATACTGATGAAAAAAATTGAATTGGATTATTAAGTTACGGCAAAGCAGGGCTATCTGCCTAAAAGGAAGGATGCTTTCATGAGGAACTTTCTACGGGAAACTAGCTCGTATACACGTTACACATGAGAAAAACCACTAAAACGCCCATGCAACCAGCCCATTCACCGGGATTCGAACCCCGGAGCCAACAACCAGTGTTCAGTGACTTGGCCGTTTGTAGCTCTTTTGAAATAGAAGGTGATAAATTTATTTAAAATTAATGTCAGAAATACAAAGATGTTTCGAAAAGTTGGATGCTTTTTAATATACTTGCATAATGCCTGAAGAAGAGCAAGCAATTAAGAAGAAAAAATAAATTTCTGCATAAAATTTTGTATTTTTTTAATTTTATGATAGTTGATTCTTTCAAAAATAAAATATTTGACTAAAATATGAAAAACATTTTAAGAAACTAAATGTAGGATGATAAAATTGTGTAAAGCAATGGGTACAATGATAAATCTGTAAAGCAATTTATGCAAGTCATCTTAAGTTAAAATGTCGGATATACATCTCCCTTATTTGTATATCTTTTCTGAAAGGAACATTGAAAGGCGTGCTAACTGTATTTTCTCTTTTAATATATGCAGTTTTCAAATGCATCGTAGTCTTGGTCACAAAGTATTCTTTCGAAAGAAACGCAATATAGAATAGAGAAGGTTTGTTAAATTCAAATTTTTCTAATACAAACATGTATTTACACATTTTATTCAATTATTATTAAAGCATTAATTTTTAATTAACTACTCAAATTTCCTGAAGTAAGTTAATAACCAAGTAACCTCGTTTTGGAAAAGAAAGGTAAACTATTATATGCACTCTGTCACATTTTGCTCACTTAAAACAATTGTTATCAGGCCCACCAGCGGCAAAGATGCTGAACACTGATAGTTCGGTCCGAGGTTCGAATTCCGCGAATGGGCTGGCTGCATGGGCGTTTTCGTGATTTTCCCCATGCGTAACGTGTATACAAGCCAGTTTCCCTTAGAAAGTCCTCCATGAAGGCATCCCTCCCTTTAGGAAGATAGCCCTCGTGTGCTTTGCCATAATTGAATAATCCAATCCAATCCAACAATTGTTATCTGAAATGCAGTTCGCAGGGCTATGTAAATATTACCTTTCCCAGTTTTCTATTATCATATGAAGCTTTTGTGTGTAACTCTTAAAATGTAACACTATAACTTATATATTTCAAAATATATCAAACACGTTTATCACAGCAGCTAAGAGTTAATCAGCAAAAATTTCAAGTTTTAGCACGAATTTTCCGGCTTCAAACAATGCTACACATAATGAACATGTTAGCAGCATGCTGTAAATATTTACCATCAAATTATAATATAAAACTCTGTTTTAAAATGCAATTTTTTTCCTAAACAATATAAAACAAAAAACTGGTAACAAATTTTGTTTATTTAAAACAATTTTGAACACTGAAACTCGATACAAACAATTAAATTTTGCGAGTTATATATTCATATCATTATCTCCTGCCACATTTTTGTTAATTTCATGAAAACAAACATTTGGGCAGTAGCTGTTTCTATTACCATACAACAAATCAAATCAACTCAAATCTTTACAAATCTGTGTTCAACATCACAAATAGAAACCGACAGTTTCGCTTTCTCATCGTAATCAACCCATTCCTTATCTTCCAAATTAACTTCATCAAATTCAGTGCCAGAAGTTTCACCAACAGCTCGAAATCCACCGCGAGGTGAAAAATCCGTTGGATCTAATCCTCGGCAATCAAACACAACAATAGTCTTAAATGTTTCGCTATCATCTGCCGCATACTTTTTCAACGAGTCCGGTAAAATTTCAACAGAATTTTCTCGCGCGCACAATTTGCACTTACTGACGAAATTTGCTTCACCTCGCCCTCCCTTTAATGGAACTTTTTCAGTAAGAGTTATATACTGCCATTTCTCTGACTGCTCACCACAATTCATGCATTTCAGTTTTAAATACCACCTAAAGTCTTGGTCGTAGGCTTCCAAGTCAGTGATGTTCTCTAACGTCGCTTTCAGCTGTAGGCCAATTTTCCCCATTTCATTAAATTTGAAAATTTTCGTCAAACGACAAGAAAAGTAAACACTTATCGCTTTGTGCACGTAAGTACTCAGTCTTTCTGTCCAGTTTGGATTGACATCAGCATGTCAAATAGTTACTCCCCCCCCTCTCCTACTCTATGGTAAACAAAAAGGAGAAAAAATAACGTTAAAAGTTATTATGTTAGTAATAAATCGCGATTTAGATTAGATTACTTCCTAATGCTAAGAAAATGTTTAGTTTTTAAAGGAGATAGGGCGCAATAATACGACATTTAATACGACATACTGGATTAAGAAAATGTTTAGTTTCTAACGGAGATATGGCGCATTCTTAGTTTAAAATGACATATTATCATGATAAACTTTCTGGAATATAACAAACATTTTAAAGCTTAAATGTGGAAAAGTTGAAATGTTTAATAATAATAGCATTTGTATACTTTCGGAATCGCATAAGCAATGTTGATAATGATTTTAGTCACATTTTTTTAAGTAAATGAAAAATAATTACAATCATGTTGGAATTAAAATAATGTTGTCTGAATTTTTTTATATTACTAAAATAAATGGCTGATGAATAAAGTGCTCTGGGATCCGGTTGCTGTAGCCAGTCGTTTTCTCCTGAAGAAGATGAGCACTGGGGCGCTAATTTATTTTGAACATACAGCAGAAACGTGAGTCTCTTGTTTGAATTAGGTTAGTTAAATTGAGAATTTTCTTTCTTTTAGTTGTATTTAAGATTTTTATCTTCATATGATGCTGCATTTTGCCAAAACGTTTTGTAGAAGAGCTATAGCTATGATGAAAACTGTGCTCATACACTGTTTGAGATGCCTTTGATCTTGTAATAATTGTAAACGCTTTAAATTTCATATGAATGTCAGCTGTTATGATTATTAACGCAATATTGTAACTTTATGGAAAAATTGTGTTTGCATCTCATTAAAAATACATTACTGATGTTTCTCACATTTCAGAGCCATAAAAAATTCAGAGCTAATTTAATATGATTACATTGAATCATTTAAGTATGTTTTTAAAAGCAGTAGTTAATTATATCTATATCATTTGTACCTCTCATATAATTCTGCATTTTGATATGTACACCAGAAAGGTCTTTCTTTAATTCCTGTCATAATTATTCATTATGGCTTTATTTCTAATCCTACAGAAGGGGAGAAAAAGTGTATAAATTTTGTATGTGTTAAGCAGTGCTATTTCAAAGACTATTTTATATAGCATGAATGGCTAAAGTGCAGTATCGCCCACTTATTTGTTTGGCAGTTTTTACACGAGTAGAAGAATTGGATTTTTGTCAATTTTCTCTGACTTTTAAAGTAAAAATAGGTCGATGTGTACATGGATAAAGTCAAGGGAGTGTGCAATTCCATTTTTGTGCAATTCTGGGATATTTTCTTGAAGCGAAAATAGGTCGATGTGTACATGGATACCAAGTATGTGCAATTCTTAAAAACGTGTCAAACAGTGGGCGATTCTGCACTTTCCCTGCACGAATCAGTTTTCCTTCATCAGAAAGTCAAAAAATTATATAAATGTGTACTTGTTACATGCAGAGTAAAGGTTTTTGTCCGCAAAGTACCCATTGGCGCTTTGGGAAAGAACCCGTTGGTGTAATTGAAACTACCTGATTACATAAAAGTTTTTTTAGTAAAAAATTATATTCTTCTCAGACTTATTTTTTAAATTTTATGTTCTTGTGTTGCATAAAAAACCAACATATTCACTCTAAATTTCGCATATTAATTTTTATTAAGACTTGCTTTCTTGCATGTAACAAGAACCAAGGAACATATTATTTATTGTTCACTGCTTTGCAATTGATAATGCAGCTCATCAGCAGCCAAATAGTAAAGTGACTGAGGTCTGGTAGTTTGGTTAGCCAAGCTAATGGACAAGTTGTATGATTGTTTTCATGGTACAGTCAAAAGTCCTTAATACGGACCCGTCGGGACTTCGGCGATTCCGGATTATCGATTTTTCCGGATTAAAGATCATCAGTTTAAATCTGGTAAGATGGCATGCAGAAATTATAAAATTAAAAATATGAAACTGTAATTTATGAAATAAAGAACAATTATGATCTAAAGGGTAAAATTTACAAAAAGAAAAAGCTTAATATTTATTTGTTGTATTTTATTAAACATTTCTTTCAATGTAAGTTGTTTAAGTTGCTTCATTTTTATGTGATAATATTTTCTCTTTAATTCTATAAACAGACATAATTTGTTGTTTAGTTACAAAGTTCCGCTGTTCAAGTCCTATAATTGCTGAGTCGAGAATACCGACTAACTTGTCAATCGAAATTTTTTCGTTTTCAATAACCTCTGCGTCACTTTCTTCACTATCGGAAGCGAATTATGACGAGGAACTTGATTTAAATCATATCAAAGATATATGTTTAGTAACGAATTATAAGCCAAATAAAATAAAAACATCTGCCTTGAAGATAAGGATAATGCTGACAGATCAACTTCCAATTCATTGTGCACCCCGTCGTTTCCCTCCCCCCGCAGAGCAGCGTGAAATTGATAAACATATTTTGGAATAATTAGATAATCAAAGCATATGCCTTTATCCATTTTTTGCAGCAATTCCACTTTCTGTTTAATGGACTTCGAAACATACTTTTGCTTTGTAGATCCTTTACATATTAGTAAATATATATCGGAAATTCTGTTTGACATAATCGAAAGTTCAAGCTTACTTTTATAAAATTGCTCTAAAAGTCTGCAAAAAATAATAAGCCGGATCCAATTCAAAGATTAAGGAACAATGCAATCTGCAACATTAACTGAATTAAACTGAATTAGATAATTTTAGCTTTACTTATACCATCCGTTGTACATTAAACGCGCATACGTAAACGTATTATGTGCATGCGCACACGCATATTTGCAGCCGTAAAGCTCTTACATGCACACATGCGCAGAAAGTTTATAGCTTTGAGGTCCGGATTATGGGTGCCCAAATTAACGACTTTTGACTGTATTCCCAAATGCAACGTGGAATTAAATCAGTTCGCTTCAGAAAGACCTCCTTGAAGGCATCTTTCCTCTTAGGAAGGTATCTCTCCCATGCTTTTCCATAATTTAAACGAACCAAACCCAACTGATGTATGTTGCTAAGAATTTTGGCTGATCTTTGGAATATGGTAACTGGTAGTTTGGCGACATTTTGGAGGCGATAAAGGTTACTACCTAGGACTTTGGTAATAATGTGAGAAGTACTCAGTTCCGATTACGCATTATTTTGTGTGAGGGAAATGAGAGATCATGAGATATGTCATGTGACATTAATGGACGAATTGCAGTTCTTTAATCGGAAAAGGGAGGGGGGAATTTGGAAAACTGTAGTACTATATTATTTTGTATTAAGCTTCATTGTGTGTTGTGTGAAATAGTGGAAGTGTGCGTGCCACGTAATGAAGATTCTGAAGATTAGGTAAGTTAGTATTTTTAATCATTTGAGGATATTATTTTTATGCATTGTTCTAAATGTAAGGAGTAAATAAATTAGTATGATATTATTGGAAAATTGTTATTAGCAATGATTTAGTTTAAAGTAATTAGGATTGTAATCTAATTTTGGAACTACTCTGATATGCGCCCTCAAGGCGCCAAATTTCTCGCCAAATATTTTTGGCGAGAAACTCCATGCTGCCATATTGCTATCTAAATTTTTTGTCTACATTTCGAATTTTAAGCCTAAAATGTCTCCAAAAACACGGTTTTCGCAAATGCAAAAACCACGTTTTGAACACACAATTTAAGCTAAAAATCCGAAACAAAAACAAAAAATTTAGATAGCAAAACCGTGAAGTTTCTAACCAAAATTATTTTACAAGAGTCCATGTACACAGCGATATGTTTTAATTTAAAAAAACATCTACGAATGGCACAATCTAGGCAACGAACGAATTTACGAACTACGCACACCTCGCTTTAATAAATTAACATAACAATAAATTTCAAAGAATACCATGTACACAGCATCCTGTTTCAACTTGAAAAAACATCAACGAATTGCACAATTTAGGCAACAAACGAATTTACGAACTACGCGCACCTCACTTTAATAAATTAACATAACAACAATAAATTTCAAAGAATACCATGTACACAGCATCCTGTTTCAACTTTAAAAAACATCTACGAATTGCACAATTCAGATGGTACGCACTAATCAACAAAATAACTAAAATAAATTTCAAACAATTCAAAAAAACAACAATAACGACAGAAATTCATACTAAAGAAAACAATGAACATTATATTCTACAAAATAAGAACAAGAATAAAATAAAATGCACTTAACCGTGAATTAATGCTTTTATCGACCAGCAGCAGATATACCAATTTCATACCGCCTTTAACATGCCGCCACGTAATCACTAGTATCGTATTTATATGACAGCCAGACACACTATCCAGAAAATTCATACTATGGTTCACAAATAAATAAAATAACAAATAATCACAAATCCCTACTTCTACCATGCACAACCACTAAAAATAATCTCCCATACCTTCTTTCCACACCTCCAAATACCCATTGCCCCTCAACAGGATGACCACGATGATATTTCCTTATGCCAAACTTCAATTCAACAACTTTCACCATTAAATCTTTTCCCCCTAGCTTCTCAGACACAAAGCATGATGGGAACCAACGAACTCCAGCGAAAGACGTCAACAGGGTTGCCATACAACACGCAATCGCGCCAAAAACCAGCGCAGAACACATATCGCCACATTTGGTGAAATTAGGGCGTATATTAGAGTTGTACCCTAATTTTTATTAATTTAATGTATGTGCTTATTTATATTTTAAGTAGGGTTTTTTAATTTAATTATCTTTTAATTTAATGATCGTGATTTTGTTAGTTATGTGTTTGTAGTATTTTGAAATACGGTGAGTATTTTCATGCATTTTCGTGAAATTTTTCTGAATTATGAGAAAAAAGCTGTGTACATGGATATAGTGAAGAGTGTGCGCAATGCCATTTTTGTGCAAGTCTGGGATGTTTTTTTAAGTAAAAATAAGTCGACGTGTACATGGTTTAGTGATATTTTAATTAAATGATAGTTATGTGAATTTTATGTTTGTAGGAATTTGGTACTTTGAGTTTGGAACTTTTGAGTGTAATACAGTCAAAAGTCTTTAATCCGGACTCGTCGGCACTTCGGCGATTCCGGATTATCGATTTTTCCGAATTATAGATCATCAGTTTAAATCTGGTAAGATGGCATGCAGAAATTATAAAATTAAAAATATGAAACCGTAATTTATAAAATAATGAGCAATTATGATCTAAAGGGTATCAAAATTTACCAAAAAAGAAGCCTAATATTTATTTGTTTACTTTATTAAACATTTCTTTCAACGCGCGGATGCGTAAAGCATACCTTACGCATAGCCGAAATTAGAAAATTGCAACCAGAAAACTATTTGATTTGTATTCGTGATATTTATAATGACGAGGAATTTGATTTAAATCATATCAAAGACGGAGTACATCGAAATTAAATACTACATTTAGTAAGGAATTATAAGCACAATAAAAAAAAAAAAAAAAAAAAAAAAAAAACTTTCGCTAAGCCATACAAAATATTCGTCTCAAAGCCGGAAAAATCTAAGAGTAATAAAAAAGTCTCTAATGATAGAACATCTACTTC